AGATTTAAATTTTAAAAATTAAAATTAAAATTTAGTAATTAACATTTCATGTGAGCCTCCATACTGTGGTTATCTGAAGGTATATACTATATTTATTTAAAGGTAAATGTTTCTGAATTAATAATGCACTTAGACCAATACTGGAATGCATGGAGTTCTTTCTTATCCTGAAGACTGAATGTTCATAGATGGATGGTTGTTACCTGTTTCCATGTACTGCCTCACATGGATCTTGTAAAGTCATAAAAGAAAGATTTTTCATGCCCCCAGTGGATACCACTATTACCTCTTTAACACTTATTAAACTGAACAGTGCAAATAAATATGTAAATACATGGGTTTCCTTATCAGAAATTGAACAAAAACAAGATTTAATTAGTATTAGTAGTTTTGAGCTAAGTTTAACCAACTTAAAAACTAGTTTATTATTGAAATGCTTTACCTTTTTCAATATGCAGTCAATTCTTATTATTTGAGGTAGTTAAGTTTGTTCTATAATCTAGCTATAAACACTGAATTAGTGAATACTGAACCATTGTTTCTAGAGGAAATACAGAGTTAGGTTCCTATAAGCCTCTGGTCACATTTTTGTCAATCTATCCATACATAACCTTATTTTATGTGTCCTTATGTTTAAAAACACTTTATTTAATATATATTGTTGGTTCATTAACCTTGAGATCACTGGTTAAGTTATAGTGCTGTTGGCACTAACTTATACCTGGATGAAGCTTATTTAACACATGTATTTTCTGTGTAAGGCATGTCAGAGTCTTCTTGCACCCATGAACATTAGACAGCACTTCAGCCTTTTGCCTGGGCTATTTTTAACAGCAAAATCAGCAACAGAAAGCACAAAAATGCAAAATAAGTAGCACTAAATAGACAACAGAAAGGACACTTATTTATAGTATGAGAGCTGAAACTAAACAGAACGTCAGTTCAGCCTCAGCTGGGAATTTGCACATCAGACACCCAAACTTTTTGCTGCTCTGTGCTGCCTGTGAAAGCACAGGGAGTATTGATTTGGGGGTTACACATGTTTTTGTGACTAGGTGAATTCGCAAATGTGGAGTCTGCAAATAATGAGGATTGATTCAGTCTTTTTCTTAAAAAGTATTGAACTTCTTATTAAAATATCAGTTTGGAAGTATTGGTGGTATGTTTCCCTTTCTTCCCCCCAAGACTTAAAAAGGCAGTATATTCCTTATATAAAGACTTAGGTAGAAATGCTGGTATGTTTATAAACTTGTTTTCTTCATGTTTTAAACAGGAAGTAGACTTGATACGGAGTCAAGTACAGCAGCTTATCTCCCTCCCAATGTGGATGGGCTTACAGCCTGTAAGTATCTAATTGCAGAATTTTATGCATGTGTATAAGTGGAACATGTGGTTTTAGACTGTGTAACTTTAATGTGTTATAAAAGTGCTAGCTAAAAACTCCCTTTTCTGCTTAGAAAATTTACTATGCATTAACTTATCATAGATGTAGTTTTTTATAGTTTTAAAGTTTTTATGGGCAACCTAATATATGTTTCACCTAATTTCAGTATTGTGAGATAAAGTAAGATAGTATCTATTGAGCTTGTAGAGAAGGGGGGATTAATTTAGCAAAGTATGGTTAATATCCATCCTTGTGTATGTCTTTAGAGGAGACGAAATGCAGATTTGAATTTTTTATTTGTCTCGATTAGAATGTATGTACAGTTATAGGAGAAGGTCTGGATCATATTTAATATTAAATACTTCCATTTTTTCATCAAATCTCTATTGGATAATATGTGCAGGTACCAAAGCCAAATTAACACATCTTAGGGAGTAAAGTTAAAATTATCAAATTTCAATGTAATACTTTATTCAGAATTTCATTTCCTGAGCACGGGTGTTCCTGCACAGACCCAGATATATAAGCTCATTCATAGGTACCAGTTGATGGGGATGAAAACATAAGGCACATGTAAATAATTAATACTAAGTTAAAAGGTGATAAGTACCATAAGAGAGAATATGCTGATGCAGACATTTCCCTGTTTGCTTGTGATAGCAGTTTTTATGTTCCTTGTCTCAGACATATTTTTCAAGCTGCAATGATTGTGCTAATAAGTGTTAATACTTACATTTTTCAGACTTAAATCCTTAATTTTAGAAATAAGAAAGGAACTTATTATTGACCTTAAAATCTTGACTAGCAAAGGCCTTTTCTTCTTCTATTTTTTTTAATAAGTGTCAGAATTGAATAATTTTTAAAAAGATAATCATCCCTTGGTGTCTGCAGAGGATTGGTTCCAGGATGCCATGTAGATAGTATCTGCAGATGCTCAAGTCCTGCAGTTGGCCCTGTGGAACCCATGGATACGAAAAGTAGGCCCTCTGTATCCCTGGGTTTAGCATCCCGTCAATAGGCTTAATGTATTTTCGATCTGTGTTTGGTTGAGTCCACAGATGCAGAAACTGTGAATATGTAGGGCTGACCATGTTTATTGAAAAAAAACTCACATATAAATTGACCCACACAATTCAAACCCATGTTGTTCAAGGGCCAACTGTATTCATTTCTTAATTTTCGGGGTTTGTCTTGTTTTTAGATTTTAAGATTTTATCACATTGCTATATATTGTATCCATATATTCAAAAACTAGTTGATCTAATCTTTATCCTCACAAACTTTGAGGTTACTGGTTTTTTTGGGGGGGGGTTGTTTGTTTTGGCAGCTGGTTGGTTCTGGGATCTGAACCCTTGACCTTGGTGTTATAACATTTTGATTTAATATCACATCTCTCTTTCAGGCACGATTGGAATTAGAATTAAAAAAGACACCCAAGCTAAGGAAATTCTGGAACTTGATTAAAAAGAATGATGAAAAGATGGATCCAGAAGCAAGAGAACAGTATGTTGGCAAAGTTTCATTCCATGTTGGCTTATGCTGGGTTATGGGTCTTAGGTGGTATTGACTGGTTTGTTGCTTCCTTTTATATAGTGCTGAGCCCAGGTAAATTATTAATAAGTGCCTCTACTTAGACTGGCATAGGAATATTTTTTCTACGGTCTAAAAGAGAAGCCACAACATGCTTTTTTTTCCCTTTTCTCTTTGCCAGTGATAAGTATATATATTTGTCCACTGTTCTTCTCCCTGCCTATTGTCCATAATCTGTCCCTCGTGGATGATTCTCCATTTTCTCAACAGCTGAAAATGGGAAGTAATTCTTGCTTTTGTGCAGTTTACATTCTAGTTAGGAAAAACTGTGATAAACAGATGAATTATGAAGTATGTTAGATGTTGATGCATGTTAAGGAAAATAATAAATCAAGTATAGGGATTAAAGGAGCAGATGAGGATGGCTCTCATAGCAAACAAAATCCAAAATTTTCAGACCTAAATTTTATAACAAAAATCGATTCTTTCCTTCATCTTTGATGAGTGCATTATCATATGCTTTTTAGATGTTCTCAGAGTTTTTTTTAAATGGTTTGGTTATTTCTACCAAGTTTAATGTTTTTATCAGCAAATTTTACTGTGTACAGTTTCCAGTCAGCAGCTCTATTTTATGGGTTATTTCTAATAATAATGTTTATTATCAATTGGATAAAAATCTGATAGCTATTATATTGGCCCTCCATGTTTGTGGGTTCTGCATCCATGGATTCAACCAACCATGGATCAAAAATATTTGGAAGAAGAAAAATGGATGGTTGCATATATACTGAACATGTACAGACTTTTTTTCCTGTCATTATCCCCTAAATCATACAATATGCAACTATTTACATAGCATTTAGATTGTAGTAGGTTTTATAAATAATCTAGAGGTTATTTAAAGTATACAAGAAGATGGTCATAGATTATATGCAAATACTACACCATTTTATACAAGGGATTTGAGCATTTGTAAATGATGTTATCTGCGGGGGGCCTGGAACCAATTCCCCATGGATGGTGAGGGACGACTATTTATTTCATGAAACAAAGCTATTAGGACACAGGAGAATGACTTGCATCCTCTCAGAGGTTTGTTTCCCTTTGTCTTTTTGAGACTAACTGTTCTGACTGTGCTCTTGCCTTATTTACACTGTGACTTTTTGTTTCTCCCACTTTAATTGCTCTTTTCCACTAACTTCTTTTTCTCTGCATACACACAAGCACACGCACACACACACACATAAATACTAAAGACTTCCCTTGGGTCTTTGATAATTTCTTTAGGCTCTATCTTATTTTTTCTGCCATTTAGGAGAGAAGTCTACACATACCTTTCCTTCAGACTTTGTATCTCCCACTTGAATTTTGGTTCCCACTTTCCTACTCCCACCTGAAATTGTTCTTTTTGACTTCACCAGTCACCACTAACATCTGACATTTTGGAGTTTTTTGTTTTGTGTCATTTTCTTTGACCCCTTATTTGATCCTGTTGATTATACTCCATTTCTTATATAGCCCTTCTCCTTTAACTTCTACAACTTCTCTAGCTTTTTTCACTTTCGGATATTTTTCTCTGTGTCGTCTATGGCTCCTACTTCCATTATTTAGTGAGGTATGTAAACCATGAAAAGGGTTGAGGACAAAAGGCAGTGAAATCTGAGGTTATGCTGGTAGTTACTGAAAAAAGGGAAGAACAGAAAAGCTGTGTGTCAGAGAGATGAGCTTGGGAGAAAGGGAATAAGAGCTACAGGGACAGGAACTAGGGTCAGAATAGGAATATCCCTTCTTTAATTTCCAGCTTCAGTCTCACCTCTTTGATGATATCTTTCCAACCAACAACCTCTTGATTGGACTAATTAAATGACATTTTCCAGCATTTGACTGCTTCTTTTTTTTGGGGGGGGGGGGAGGGGGGGGTTTTC